GCGGGATATTTGGGTGGGCCTATATTATTGTCACAGATCCCACTCTCGAAAACTAGGCCAAGTCAACTGATGTGTCAAAAATGATAATGTTACGTATGTGTTGAATCTTAAGTGTGTATCACTTTTAAGCACCTGAAAAATTCTGTTGTGAACAAACATTGATTATAAACTTTCGTGATTATCTTTGGTGCACACGGTAATAGGAACTCATATATTGTTGATCAATGACGAAATAGCACAAACTGACCACACAAATCTATCTAGCTATAGCTATCTGACATAACACCTTTTAACTACCTACTCGCGTTGTGCCCTAACATGATTCATGCAAGGCGATGTTTTCAGCTATAATTTCTATTTACGCTCAATGCTTATGCAGAAAGGATTTGCTCGATATCAGATTGTCAACAGTGCATATGGATCTTTAAGGATTTGCTGACATGAGCATACACGTTCCGGAAGTTCTGCAGCATCACCATAGAGATTACGCACATTCATGCTATAAACATGATTTTATGATGCTTTGTTCAGGGAAACAGCTCTAGAAAATTTGCGTTCTGACAATCAAACTTGTATGAACAAAAAATGCATTATGAAAAAGAGCCGGAGTTTATGTAACTTAGCATCAGTTTTAGTTTGATGATGGATGGAATAACCTGTATGTGAAAAAGGTGATTAGAAAATGAGTAGTATCGATACGATTCATCAAGCAACAAACTTTTTACCTTTATTAAACATCATATCCCACTCCCACTCCGCTAGACAAAAACGCAACATTATGTAACCTCGATAATATCTTCGATCAGCCACAGCAATATTTTATGAAAACAAATACCTTACATCCTCCCTCCCATTGTACAATATTTGGAATAGTGTGATTTCTAGATCAGCCACAACTGCCTTATTTTCAAAAATACACGTGCAATCCACACGAGACAAGCATAAATTAATGACAACACCTACTGTAGATATCATTTGCCATAGCGACAACATGTCCAATATCAAGCAGTGAAAATAAGGAGCTAAAAAAATTACATAATCTTTAGGTTTAAAATTCCTACACCAATACAGTAGATGCGATGTCTCGTAACCAATATTTTATATCTTCAAATGTGTAAAATTTAAAACTTAAAAAAGTAAATAATAGACACACACATATTATATATATATATATATATATATATATATATATATATATATATATATATATATATATATATATATATATATATATATATATATATATATATATATATATACAATAAACTGACGGCGAACAGTGCAAAACTAGTAACTAACTATCCAGAGAGCTTTCGACTCTTAATGGGTCTTTTTCAAAAGCATATACAAAACATAGACAAAACAAACAAGTTAACATAAAAAATGTTGTGTTTATAAAACTCTACATGAATTAAAACTATATATACATTTATGTCTCAACCAGCCTGTATAGACTTGTTGCAAATACTGAAAGATGTTTCTATTTCACTAAAAATCTATGAGCTATAGCGACATCTGTTATTTTATGTACATTTAGGTAACGCAAATCATATCCCGGATATTTGATTCTATACCGAATATTTTATTCTTATAGTAGTAATTAAAGGATACTAAGAAGATTTATAAAAATTTGAAAAGAAACTGTGTCGGATGAAAACAGTAATCATACTATAATAACATAATTAATTTATCTCAAACCATTGAACATCTTAGAAAATTTGAAAATACTTTTTAAAAGGATGATTAAAAAACAAATATAGAGCACACTGTGATTTTTAATTCTGGCAAAATTGTTTAAACTGGGCTGCATTGAAGGCAGCTTCCGGATGTGTTGTATGATATTGACACCAAACAAGACTAGTATACTAGAATCAGTACAATCAATATGTAGGTTTGACATATCTTCAGGTACCAAATTGATTACCTGATGAACATTCTTTTAATCTAACATTAGCATCGATCTCAATATATATCACAACCTGCTATACCCTCCCTTAATATTCACCTATGGAATTATTCGAGATATATTAACGGGAAAAATAAAAATCGTATTGAAAATGTTCTAAAGAACACCATACTGTATATCAATGTTTTAAAGCTCCTAGAGTAGAGAAAGCAAGATACTCTGACAAACTTAAATATTTACGGGTCTGAGACAGCTTAATACTGGAAGAAATGCCTCCTGTAGGAAATAACGCAGCTTTGACAAAAAAAAAAAAAAAAAAAAAAAAAAAAAAAAAAAAAAAACAGGCTTTTGGTATTTCGTTCTGCAAGAAAGCAATGTAAGAAAGAGTATATAGACCCAATACAACTACCAAGCCTTATTAAATATATAATTTAGGAGGTTAGGTAGGAAGCAGAATACTACTACACACCCTGTTTCGACTATACAAAATATCTGAGTGTAATATTTTTGCAATATATTTCGATTCCAACGTTAGACTAAGCTCTCATGTTGGTGGTTAAGCTTTATTTGTTACCAAGTCACGTGGTTATGAAGTATCAAATACGTTTAGCCTAAACACCGCGATAAATACCGAGTAAGTTAAAAGTGGAATTTCAGCTGTTGATAAACAGTCTGTAACAATTCATAAAAAGGCAGATTACGATTTAACCGGTAGAAAATAAATGAACGTGAATACGCCCTACAGAGACAAGAAGGATACAGAATATTGAAGTTTGTTTTGCATAAAACTGAATCTACGCATATTGTTCAAAATGGATCATTGGACAAATCGAAGGCTTTCTAGAAGACTATTATTTCTGTTGCCTTCGATAAAACTGCGAATAAAAAACAAATTAATGCTAAATAACAAACCTTAACAATTTGTCCAACTGATTGAAAAGGTCAGATCATTACGTTGCCACAAACAAATTTTAAAAAAAAAAAACTGTTAAAAGTCTATTTACCTCGTTTTGCTTTTGGTAGTATAAAAGAGTTCTTGCGATTTATCTGTCGCTCGTAGTCCTAGCAATACCCACAACTGCGGGGGTGGGAGGTGGGAGCACATTCAATGTGGTGTACAACGTCCCATTAAGCAACTTTTTTATATGGAGGTTATCCCTGAATTACGATTATGGAATTTTTTTGGAGCTACGCCATTGATTTTCATGTAAGATTATTGACATTACAAACGTTTGCTTACTCAGTAGATGCCAATAAATTCAGTTGAAAACTCCATAATTAACTAATTGTTAACATGAAATCAACAAATTTTAATTGAAGCTATATAATTAACAAATTGCTATTATGTTATATAAATTAGAATAATATTTCCTGTATTGAAGTGTTGCTTATAGTGGAACACAATTTAATTTAACGTTTCAGATAAGAGAAAATATCACAACGTATTACCATTGATTAAAAAGAGCAAAGTAAACATCTTCTATCTCTAGATATAGACACATAATCAATTATGATTAAGGGAGTTGTTCTCAATGTTTTCACATTTCAGGCAGTAATTTTTCTTTTGAATTATTTTATCCAAATGAAAGCAAACGAAGAGAGGGGAAAACGTCCAAATGTTCTAGAAGAATTGGAGAAGGGACCAAATGAATTCAACGAAAACAGAGTAAAGTAACTCGATCACTTGAATGAAAGATTTAGAGAACAAGGTTTGGTTACTGAGAACGTATATAATCATGGCAAACCAAACTCAAATAGTCTTTCTACAACTAAAGGATAAACTTTACAATAATCTGTTGGCACTTCTAAGTCTACTTTTTAAAATTAACCAATTGCATTTTAGTTGTTCGAAGACATTGCACTGTTTCGATCGTTTTTTTTAACAGTTTGACTGTTTGATCATTGAAAGATTTTGATGGGCATTGGTTGGCGTATGGATCAGCCATATAAATTATTATATAGTAAATAACCTTGACCTTGACTCAAGGTCATGCTAATTGGCCCTTTCATTCCACATCCAATTATCTGGAACATATTAAAATCTGTAAGCAATGCTGATATTACCTAACTAATTTACAAACCAACTATATGAGCTAGTTTGTAATTATTTAAGCAATCATTTCTAAATTTTCCAAACATTTTGCATGCAATTAAAGTATCTTTCTTCAAAGCGTAATCATGTAACGCATCGAGTAAATTCAATTGGAAATGTTTGTAATCTTTTTAAAAAAATGTTTGATCTATTGAGGTTTGAAGGAATTTTTATGTTGGTGTTAATATAGCTTCATTGATCCTTTGAAATGAATCCATGTATCCTCACTGATACTTAAGCATTCCCACTGCATAGTTCGTTTCGCTGTCTGACTCACTTATATATGACAGCTTTACCATTATTCATAGATCAAGAGACACCGTCGTAGGAGCTAAGCGAAAATCCAAGATGCTCGTATTTTCGTATATTTTCACCCGTGTCTAACGCCGATAATCCAGAGAGAGAGAGAGAGAGAGAGAGAGAGAGAGAGAGAGAGAGAGAGAGAGAGAGAGAGAGAGAGAGAGAGAGAGAGAGAGAGAGAGAGAGAGAGAGAGAGAGAGAGAGAGAGAGAATTTCTTGAGATAAAGTATAGCTGTATTTATGGAGATATGGAGATATGGAATATATGCATTTTCAAAGCCTATAACCACGCCGGCAATGATTTCATCCTTGTGATCAAAGCATATTTAACTGTTTACGACATATGTAAGTGACCAAAGTCACCTGTTGAATTGTTGTGTCCACTTTAGTAGTATAGCAATAAATTTTGAGACTCTACGCAAAATAAAATTTAATAATACAATACTCGTTGTTTACTTGACCACAAATAATTACAGACAAAATGGCATTAAAAGGCAAAAAAGAGCGAGCGTCAGTCCTACTGTAAAGACACCCACTATTGAAATAAAACTCATGGACACCAGCATTATGACCAAATAGAGAAAATTATTTTCAGGGTCTCGTGTAACCTCTGAGTTGTTGCATTTAACATAAGGTGATGTCTATCCCAACACGTTTATACCAGAGCGAGACAGGTCATGTGTATCCAAACAACATTTCAACGGCTCCGGTGGCCTAATGGTTAAAGCGTTCACCTCAGATGCGAGAGGTCGTGGGTTCTATCCCCGGTCGAGCCATACCAAAGACTTACAGAAATGGTACTAACAGCTTCCTCGCTTGGCTCTTAGCGTTAAGCGGTCAGTGTTAGGACTAGTCGGCCTGGTGTCAGGATAATGTGACTGGATGGGACATCATGCTACATGTCTGCGGCATGATGCCCCAGTGCTAGACATCACTATAAAATTCCACACTGCAGATATCGTAGCGATATGAGTGAAAAATTGTTAATGCTGCGTTAAAAATTATAATCACATCACAACACCAAACAACATATCAGACCAGAGCGATTTAGACAGGCTATGTCTCTCCAAACACCATCTTAGACAATAGGAAGGCAGACAGGCAATGTCTATCCAAACACCATTTAGAGCAAGACAGATAGCACTATGTGATTAGTATTTCACATACTTTATAAAGAGAACAAAATTACACTTGTGCATTAAATCGTGCTAGCTTATATGTGTAAATGGATATATTATCATTGAAATTCCTTTAAAATTTAGTTTTAATATTTTACTGCACAATATACCTTTAACTATTTATTGACGGCTCCGGTGGCCTAGCGGTTAGAGCGTCCGCCTTGGATGTGGGAGGTCGTGGGTTCTATCCTCAGTCGAGTCATACCAAAGACTTACACACATGGTACTAACAACTGCCTCACTTGACGCGCAGCATTTACGAGGTTAGGGTTAGGACTGGTCGGACTGGTGTCAGGATAATGTGACTAGGTGGGACATCATGCTACATGTCTGCGGCATGATGCCCCAGTGCTAGACATCACTATAAACTGCCACACTGCAGATATTGTAGCGATATGACTGAAAAATTGTTAAAGCTACGTTAAAAATCATAATCACATCACATCACATCTTACTGTATTTTAACTTTACTCAAGAGAACTTAAATAGTTCAATGTTAAATATTACTGGACTTATGCGTATATCATATACTTACTAAAAATATCAGGAATTTTTGGTCATGGACCTTAAATGCTATTGGTTATAGGTTTAATAGGGAGTGGGTGGGTGTTGTATAACCAAATATCAAGTATAGTATGTAATAAGCAAAACTTTTTAAATTATCAACTTAAAAAAAATGCGTCAGGGAAACTGTTCTGCGGAAAATGTATTTATATGGCAATTTAATAGGCAATTTGATATCGCATTATAAGCGCAATAGGTCATGTCAATGAGACAATAGTTTGCAGTTGCATTGTAATTATCTTCTTGCATGCAGGCTAAGCGAACTGCGATAAGCTTTGTATTATTCATATACATTGGGTCCTGCGTGTAATGCTCGTGGCAAACACGCTTTTCTACAGTGGATTCTACTGTGTGTGAATAGGCCACGCACAAGGAAAGAGTGGACACTTTTATATACATATTAGTGGCGCTTTGGTGACATTTTTTTGTTTTCTGTGCTACATAGTTATCTGTTGTTTTGTACGCTGGGTAAACGTGTTTTTATCGTTGTAAAGTGTAGTCATTTTGTAAAGACACTGAGTATTTTAGCAAATAGGATCCTGTTGGGATCAGGGCTTGCAGTTTAATGCAGCTGGTGATCTCCATAAAGGATAAATTTACAACAATCTTGCATTGTGTACATTTTGCCTTGAACTAATTACCAGGACACCAAGAAAGCGGTTAGAGAGATAAATTCAAGGTTCCTAAGTACGAATGTTTAAAAAACTGATTTAACAATTGTGTTAACAGTTGTGGTATAAATACATACATACATACATACATACATACATACATACATACATACATACATACATACATACATACATACATACATACATACATACATACATACATACATACATACATACATACATACATACATACATACATACATACATACATACATACATACATACATACATACATACAGACATACATACATACAGAGAGAGAGAGAGAGAAAGAGAGAGAGAGAGAGAGAGAGAGAGAGAGAGAGAGAGAGAGAGAGAGAGAGAGAGAGAGAGAGAGAGAGAGAGAGAGAGAGAGAGAGAGAGAGAGAGTACGTTGTACGTACAGAAAGATATTTGAGCAATGAATATAACAATATTCCAGCTTGTTAATTTTGGGAATCGTCACAATGTTTTGTGCTAACATTGTGTCAGTATTATTCTTACAAAACAACAAAAAAAAAAAAAAAAAACAAACAAAAATCCAAAACAAGACATCATAAAATGCTGATTATGGCCAACACAGGCATTCCTACCTTTTGTATGTAGTAAATAAAAATTAAACCCTGTGAACTAATATTTTGGGTAGATATTAATAACTTTTCCGTTTGACCTTTCATTGGAGTAGTTCTTAAGACCTAGACAAATAGATATAATGGTGTGCTGTTCTGGATCTTAACGAGAGAAATATTTAAAAATCACACATACGAAATCCATACGCTACAAAACCTATTTCGTGAGTGAGGAGGGGAATTTACGTGCATTCCACTAAAATTACACAGAATGGTCATTATTGTCAGTCTATACAGTGGCAGATCCAAAAATATCGTGCTTTGTGGTAGGGTGTAAACAAGCTAGCGCGTTGTCCGTGAGACGGAACAAACATTGGGAACATAGCAGTTCCTGTATTTAAAGTGTGTCATTAATTTATTGTTGTTGTTGTTGTTGGGCTTAACGCCATTTTTCAGCAAACGATAGGCTATTCATGGCGGCCAGTAATAATGGTGGAGGAAGAAACCGGAAAATCACCGGAAAGAACCACTGACCCACGAGAAGCTACTAGCAAGCTTTCTCACATATCCACATTCGTCGAATCCTAGACTCGAACCCACGCAAACAGAGGTGTCATTTATTTGAACCATCTAACTGTTAAAAACACCCACCGTAGCAAACGTTCTGGGTTTTATTAATGTTTTTTATTTAGGGTGGGCTTTGCCTCCTGGCCTCCTCCCGTGGATCCGCAACTGTTAAATCGGCTATGCGAATCAGATGCTTGGAGTGTATTACCTGTTACATTTTCTTTAGAAATGGACCGCTTCTTTAGTTCGTCCGCCTTGGATACGTGAGGTCGTGGGTTCGATTCCCCGGCCGAGTAATACCAAAGACTTACAAAAATGATACTAACAGCTGCCTTGATTGAAGCTTAACATTAAGAGGTTAGTGTTAGAACAGGTCGGCCTGGTGTCAGGATAATGTGACTGGGAGGGACATCATGCTGCATGTCTGCGGTATAGTGCCCCAGTGCTAGACATCATTATAAACTGCCGAACTGCAGATATCACAGCGATATGACAAAAAAATTGTTAAGCTACATTCAAAATCCAAAATCACACACGCACACACACACACACACAGACACACACACATGCGAGCGTTCTTTAGAAATGTCTAGATCAAATCAAAATTAAACTTATGCTTAGGTTTGAAATGGACTATTCATATGTATGTATGTATGAAAAAATCATGTCCACGGAGCTTCGACACTGTTTAAAGCCGCACTGACTCTCTGGTAGCAAGCCTTGTTCCAGGTGGACTGTTAGTCGATTTAGCAGAATTCTGACCAGTATCTTTCCTGCGATGGATAATAGTGAGATGCCACGATGGTTGTCGCATGCTTGCCGGTTCCCCTTAAGCTTGTAGAGGTGGACAATAGAGGCGTCTTTGAACTCCTCTGGAATCCTTTCCTGGTTCCACATGGAAAGGAATAGGTCCGTAACCTTCTGCATCAGTCGGGGACCACCAGCTATGTAGATTTCCGCTGAGATGGAGTCAGGGCCTGGGGTTTTGCCATTGCATAGGCTTTTAATTTCCTTCTTTACTTCTGTGAGAATTGGTGAATCCGATTGGGTAGCTTTAATTGGGACCTGGGGGTGGCGAGCGATGGCATCAGCGTTTATGGAGGAAGGTCGGTTGAGGTCTCTGTCGAAGTGTTCTGCGCAGCGCTTGAGAATCTCTTCCTTATCATTGATCAGCGTGTTCCTATCTGCACGGAGGAGGGGGAAAATACTGATTTAATGGGACCGTTGATTGGCTTGAGCGCTTCGTAGAACCTCTTTGTCATTGCGGTCTGCATGCGACTCTATCGCGTCAGCCTTCTTACTCAGCCATGTGTCCTGCATCTGTCGGATCTCTCTGCACCATTCTTCTGATATTGGCGAATGCAGCTTTCTTAGATGTGGAGTGATGGTCATTTAACAGCGCTCTCTCTCTCTCTCTGGTGTTTTTCTTCGAGCATTTCTTGAATGCAGTCCTCATTATTATCGTCAAGCCAGTCCTGGTGCTTTCGTAAGGTAAGGCCTAACACATCGGCGGCGGTGGAGTAGACAATATTCCGAATTGACACCCAATCGGACTCTACATCATACAAACCTAAAGTGATGGCTTCCAGCTTGTTGTCTAGCTTGTATGCAAAGGATTGCTTCCACCGAATCCTTTTTTTTAATTTGGAGACGTTCAGTCGCTTTGGTGTCTTGCTTTCTTGAGGACGTGTATGAGACATTATCTTGATTTTAAGTTTGGAGATGATCTCCATGTGGTCAGTACAGACTCAGTTCCACACACATCCTTCGTCACTCTGACGTCCTGTCTGTCATTTTGTCGCACTATGACGTAGTCGAGCAGATGCTAGTGCTTGGAGCGTGGGTGCATCCATGACGTCTTGTTGCGAAGAAGTCGGAGGAAGACAGGAGTTGGTGATGAGCGGTTCATGAGCTGCACAAGTTTTCAGCAGTAGGAGGCCATTGCTGTTTCAGCTGCCAATCCCATTTTTTTCCAGCACTCCTCTCCATGAGATGTAATCTTCGTCAGCCCGAGCGTTAAAGTCGCCAAGGATGATGAGTTTATCTGTTCTGGGCACGGCAGCAAAAGCGTAGCTCACTTCCTCGTAGAACTTGTCCTTGATCTCATCGGGATTTGTCATTGTTGGGGCTTTGGCGCTGACTAGTGTGGCATAACGCTTTCTTGGGAGTGGCAGTCGAATGGTCATCAGACGATTGTTGATGCCTTTAGGTGGGCTGACTATCATGTTGACCAGGTATGACTTAATGG